GAAGCATTGTTCAATTAGGCGGGGGGGGGGAAGCAATCTGCACTGTCGCTGGTGTCCTTTGCTAGTTCTTATTGAATTGCACTTTCACCTTGGTAGTACTGTAGACTCTCGTCAGAAGGAAACGAGGCTCATACTTTTGCATAGCTTTACAGGGAAGCGCAGGTCTCCACAGGATGAAGAGGCAGTGATGGGAACCGGTAAAATGCTCCCATCAAGTCGAATTCTCCTTCCGATAGTCTCTGCCTCTCAGAGACTCCACTAACTCAGACGTTACAATAAGGTATTAACAACGGAAATTAGAAAGAACCCACAGATTTCACTATTGAAATGAGAATAGACATCAAACAGCACACTAACGCTGAAAAGGTTACTAACTTTTCTTCGCTTGGGTAGGAGCAGCAGGAGCAGCTGCACGTTGAACCGTGTTTGTTGAAGCCCGAAGGGTTGTATTTGTTGATGTCCGTGCAGGTGGAGCACGCGCTGGTGCTACTCCTTTAGCACCTGCTGGCAGTGGCTGAACAACAGTTGTCATGATGGGCAGATAAATGTCCGGTAATATGAAGAAAAAAAACCTGTGTTAATGATAATTACTACTGGCGCTATTTACAGTTCACTGCCAACATCATCCGAAATCTGGCCAGTTTTTGACCGAATTTTTTTTCTCCGGAAACGGAATTAGCTAAAAATTTGTCCCAAACCACCAAATTCGCTGAAAACATCTTCCCATGGGTAGTTTGACCTCCTGAACACAAATATCACATCCGCTCGGCGCGAAACCTCCTAGCGCTCACGCTACTGGCGCCGGCGCCAAAGTGCCCAAATTACCGGCGATTGTGGCGCGAGCGCTAAGAGATTTCGGGGCGAATAGTATATTCGTATTCAGAAGGTCAAACTATTCCAGAAGTAGGAGTCACTGGACACTGGAGCCAAGTCGGTTCACGGAGAAAAAGTCCGTCAAAAACTGGCTCGATTCCGGATGATTGGAGCAGTAAAGGCAGCGCAGTCGCCTCGAATGCGTTAAATAGTGCCTTACTATTAGGTTGTCCGGAAAGTTCTCAGCGTTTTGGGTGTTTCACTTTAAACGATCGTAACTTTTTTAATACTCATCGGATTTAATCGAAATAGGCACCATTCGAATCAGCACACTTTTGCCAATGTGACAGCAGTCGAGAAATCCCATCAAAGGAAAAACTGGGTGGTCGAGAATCCACGAAATCTACGAAGGTCTTTTTTGCCTGGTCCTGATTGATGAAGTATTTTCCAGCAAGGAAGTTCTGAAAATGTTTGAAAAGGTGATAGGTCTGGAGAATATGGTGGGTGAGGT